CGACTTTACAGTGGTAGAGACTAATTTGGTTCTGCACCTAATAACGGCAGCAAGACTGTTGGTGGCGCAATACTGGAAGAAGGAAGACTTGCCTACAATTCAAGAATGGGCATTGAAAGTTACAAACTTAGCCGAGATGGCTAAAATATCGGCATATCTTAAGAACCACTCAAATGAGAGATATAAATGGAGAAAGCCGCAAGTTGGGGGATTTCAGCACCAAAGGAAAGTTGCACCCCTGCTGCACCCATGGGTGCCCCACATCTCCAGGCTGGCTTTTTTCTCCCCTGCCACAAAATGCTCACGGATCCCAGCATGTTAACGGCCCAGCTGCAGCCCTGCCCACCCCCATATCCCCACATCTTACTTTGAGGGTCGAGATGACCTCGTCGCTATTATCCTTCGTAGCGATGGCGTATCGGACGTTTCGGTCAGGATCAATCACGGTGTCCCCTTTCTCCCAACGAATGATAATGGGGCGCTCACCACGAGCTGTGCAATTCAGCTCTTTAGCCTGGCCCTTGATGGCGATGGTGGTGTTGGGGTGGGAGGTGATCATAGCTGGGACTGCCAAGAGGAGAGGAGAAGCAGGCTGTGGTTGGCAAGAGAAGTCTGTTAAAGTCTCTGTTGCTTGTCATGTTACCTTCCGAATCAGAACATCCGGGCAGGGGGAGGCAATAATAATACCTGAGAAGGACTCGGGTTGTTATTTTTGCATTACAGTGTAACTCCTTCAAAGGGGAAGAAGCTCAATGAGAACCAACCTGAGCCCTGCAGCTGGAAACTTAAAGATCTGGAGATTTGCAGCAAGCTCCTGCACTTGGGAGGATCACACTCCACAAAGCTCCTGACAGCCTCCTCTCACTGTGCGGAAAGCATCCTGATTCGCACACAGAGCGCCTTTGGGGCGTCCCTTTTGTTGAAGAGCTCCATGTTTGGATGTTTATCCACCCTTGCAACTCAGAGCTTAATCTGATGAGCAAAAAATCTTCTATGTCACCCACAGAGCCTTGTGGGTCACAAAGGCAGCCATGCTGAAGGCTTAAGTTCACCAGATCGGCTGCACTAGAGAGCACCGAGAAAGATCGGCCACTTTGCGCTAATCGGGGGACTCCTCTTTGGAGGGATTATCCTGCTTTTTCTCTTCCAAATGTTACACAAGGAAGCGAACGCAAATATGGAAGATGAACAGTAGCGTTATAACAGTGGGATAGGAGGCCTATAAATCTGGGGTGGGTTCACTTGCACACTGCTAGCTTCACGCACGTGCGTGCCGTGCATGCTCAGTTGACTGAAAATTGTTCTGCGCACGCACAGAAACATGCCGGTGATGACAGAAGAGACCAAGGAACCGGTTCGATGTGCGGCCAGGCTGGGTCACTGCCAGTTCTGTGGCCCAGGACAAATCACCATTACCGGTTTGACCAAACCGGATCGAACTGGGAGCAACACACCTCTGATATAAATGTAATAAATAAATGTAATAAACTAGCGCTTAAAGGAAAATCAGTCAAGAACGCCCCCCTCTTGCTACTCAGGCACCCTCTCCCCTTGCCTTTCGTCCCCCAGAGGTCAGTCGGAGGGGAAACTGGTCCAGGAAAGACAGGCAAGGGGGAATCCATGATTCATTCCCCACAGCATCAATTTGGAGGAAGCCACACAAAACATCTGGCCTTCAGATCCACATCCACAAGTGACCAGAACTCCCCAAAGAAAGCCCACTCCCAGCTGTGGGGAAGGCACAATTCTCTGCCTAAATATCACCTGTTAATTCTTAGCCAAGGAATAAGAACACGAACCAGGAAGAAATGGCCCTGTCTTCCACCAGAGTTCATGGAATAATGAAGCAGGCACAATTTATAACAAACATCTGGATCCACAATAAATTGTGAAAGACAAATAACCAAGTACAAGTTTTAACTAAGAAAAACCTGGAGCCACCGTGAAGTTCACATGAATTACTGAGTAAGATTTTATACTTTCAAGGATGTGTTGTGGGATACTTTTCAAAGAGCTCTGTTGCTGATGGGTTTCACAAGAGGCAGGCTTGGCTTGAGAGGGAACACAAAGATAAAAAGCCCACCAAGGGGTTTCCTTTCGCTCCAAAGGGGGTCAGCAGATGCTAACACGAAAGCTGGGGCCAGCCCCTCCCTAACCGGGCAGTTGTCAAGAGCTTCCAGCTATGGTAAAAGGGAACCTTTCCACTCTTTGGTCATTTCAATACAATGGGCCTTAGGGAAGCAGAGGGATCTCTGTTGCTTCCTTGAGCATCAACTGACAAGAGTCCCAGAGCTTTTGTGTAGTGCAGGCATCAGCTGAGCTGAGCCAGCAAAACAATCAACCTGCAGCAACTGTTCACAGCTCCTGAGCTTGGGTGTGTGTGTGTGTGTGTGTGTGTGTGTGTGTGTGTGTGTGTGTGGAATTGGCAGAAGCCAAGGCAAGGCCATCTCCAAATTAAAAAACCCAGACAGACATGCAGAAGCAGGTGGAATTGTCAGAGCCTAGCAGAGCATGGGACTTCTCAAACATGGCTGGTGGAAGGTGAGAAGAAGATGCAATGACCCACTTTCTGTGCAAGAATCTTGAGCCAGCCCACCGCCAGTTTGCTTCAGAGAGCACACAGCCCCTCGCAGCTTCTTTTCAGCAGAGGGAGATGGGGGGGGGGGAGAGACCTGGGAATTTAGCCTGGAGTTGCAGGCGCCCTTCCCAGAGCACCGAGCTTGAATGGTCCTGGACCCTGGGCACGGGGGACAAGATTCCCAAAGGTCTGTGGTTGGCTGCCCACTTAGGGACAGCTGTAGGGCAAGAAGCTGCAGGGCAGAAAGCTCAGGGCGCAGGAGACCAAGCGGGCAGCGAAAAACTGTGTTTGCAGAGTATATATGGAGGGATGGATGCTCTCCTTGTTACTGCAGGCGGAGTCGAAAGGTTGAGGGCAGGCAGTTTTCTCCCCCCTTTTCTGAATTTTGCTCTCCACTGCTTTTGCATGGGCTGCTTTGGCCGCCAGCTGCCTGGCTCCCCCCCCACCCACCCACCCCTCAGCCTCCACAGCAGCTTAGCCTGCCCATTAAGCCTCAGAGAAGATCCCAGCAGAAGCCAGAAGCTCTTGCTCACCACAGGGGCAGTTGCCACGAAGTCACGCTAACACATGCTCTCCCCTCCTCTTCTCCCTAATCCAAAAACGATGGGGGGGAGGGAATGCTGAGTAGGCAGCCAGGCTGGCTCAGGGGGCGGGGATTAAAGAAAGGCCCTGCTTACCCAAAGAGTGCCGTAATATATGGTAATGACAATCAGCAAAGGCAACACACACAGTTCTAATGGGGCACTGGGGGGTTTAATGAGCTACAGCTTCTCCGCTTTCCATGGCAATCTAATTCAATTAGCAGCTGGGAAAAGGCTGACTTTCAGCTTGCTCCCATTGGCAGCATGTGGACAGAACCGAGGGTGGACTGTGATGCCACATCGCCACACGAACCATTTTGCTTGCAGGACTGGAGTGCCACATAACCCAGTGGATGAAGGGGAGGGTGACAGGCAAGGGCAAGCAAAAAGTCGTGTGCATTTAATGCTGGCCATTCACTCGGGAAGGTGCCCACTTGGGAAATTTAGCAGAACAGAGACTAGGAATGGTTTTTTTGCTGGGCAGATGGCACGAAAAGCACCCCTCCCCCCAAAGGCTCGGTGAGTCCTGAGAGGGCGAGGAGGGGCAGAGGCAAGAAAAGAAAGGGATCCGGGAGGGTGACCTGGATAGCCCAGCCTGGGGGCACAGGAGTGGCAACCAGCAAGGGGGTCCCTCCCAGCTATGCCTACCAGCCAGTCCCAACCTCCTTTTAGTGATGGCCCAGGGAAGATGCCAACCTTGTTTGATGCCCTTTCCATGAATGGCATGGGCCTTCCCCTTCCCAACTGGGCAACCATGAAAAAGCCAGTGGTGGGTTTTGTGTTTTTTTGGGTGGGGGGGAAAACGTGGGGTTTTAATGAAAGCATTTGTCACCCAAGATCTCCTGTTGGTAAAGGAATATGGCTGCAGGCCTGGCGGCATTAGCAGCTCTTGCTCACAATCACCCATGCCTTAGTCATCTCTCGTTTGGATTACTGCAATGTGCTCTACATGAGGCTGCCCTTGAAGAGCATCCAGAAGCTGCAGCCGGTCTACACTTCAGCAGCATGTGCAGTTGTGGCTGCCCCATGGTTCCCCCGAGCATCATCGGCTGCTTTCTAGGTGCATGCAAGTGGCTGCTGAACTTCTTTAAAAGCCTGCAGGGCACCAGGCTACCTGTTCAACCCCTTCTCTCTGAGAGAGCATCTGCCCATATTAGGTTAGGTAGGATGCCCTCCCTTCAATGTTGCCAGCGGAGGGGACCTCAAAGGATGCTTCCTCAGTGACCATTCCAGTCCATTCCTGTAGCCTTCTGGAAGGCGTGAAGACAGTTCTTCCCTCAAGCACCAAACTAGGACGGGAAGTTGGGCCTGGCGCCCCAGGAGGGAGGGAACTTTTTAAATAATATTTTATGGATTACTGTGAACAGCAGAGGGTGATTGCATAAGATAGGCAGCCTCTTAAGGCATATGTACTTTACTTCGAACTTTACTTTAATGGTATTTGCATGCCGCCCACTCCCTAGGGACTCTGGGCGGCTCACAGCAATAAAAACAGCAACTAAAAACATTTAAACATTTAAAATTACAAAATTAAAATCAACACAGCATCCATTTCATCAACATGACTTTGGGCAACATATAATG